TCCTGATTCTTGGAAAGATTTCTGTTGCAAACAAGAATTATTATTCCTGGTTATTATTCTGCGTTTCGAATACAGTGATACATAAAAAATATGGTGTGTCTTACAGGACTGGAAGCCTTCTCTGATGATCCTGTCCTAGTAAAGACTCTGGAATCGCAGACATGCTCCAAGATACTTGCTGTGGAAATACTGGAAAAGAGTGATATTCCTCTTCTAGTTCTCTATGACACTTCCGGAGAAGATGATATCAACATCAATGCTACTTGTCTAAAGGCATTGTATGACAAGTCCCTTGAACTGCACCTACAGGTACCATTTTACTGTTTCCCTCTTAATTCATTAAAAGTCATTGACTGCTAAGATCTTGGATGGACAAAAAACACTACTCAGAAATGTGCTAAGTTTGTGCGTGTGTGTGTTTTTTCCTTCTTTCTTGTCAAAATCTTACCACTGCAGGTAGATGCACTATATAAAAATGTCAGAGTAACCAGTGTTTTCTCTGATGGAAGCCTGTATTGCCAAGTGCCATATAAAGGACTGTCTAGACTTTCTGAAGTCTTGCAGAAGTTAGAAGACTACTTCCATTACAAGGTAGGTTCTATGATGAGAAAAGTTATGAAGTCATGTAGCCTTTCTTCAGAGTATATCAATCCTTTTCCTTGCACATAAGTTCAAGTTTCTGAGGTAATCATAGACTATTCAGAAAGGCTGTAACATCTCTTCCTATTTTTTTGGGGTGCATCCTTCAGTGTGAAAAATGTCTTTTGATCCTTTCTTCTTCACAAGATGACTCTAAGGCTTCAGTAACTACTTATAGCTTTCCTTGAATAGTTAGAACAGTAACAATATGACTCATAATGGGAAGCTTCCAGTGGAAAATGCATCAGATTCGTGTAAAGTCTGTGGAGATACTGCCTTTTTTATTGAGAGTTTTACTTACATGATGGAGCTGAGGTGCATAAACAGCCTGGCCCACAGCACACTGTGCAAAGTGACAATAAAACCAGTGTAACCAAGGTCTGTTCTTTTTAGCCTAGCTTCCTTGGAGATTCAGTGACCTTTATCTCATCTGCTGCATATCTTGTCCCCTTTGCTTTTGAATGTTGTGGCTAATTTAATCTAGAACTGATGTATAGAAGGTGTTTTCAAAAGTATTAAGTTGCTTTAAAATAAGCATGTGGCAGGGAAGACCATCTACATGCAACAACCCTTACTAGACTCAAGAGAATTTTTACAAAAGAGAAGAAATCTTAAGACAATCTAATTTGTTCAACATTCAGCTGAACCTTAGGGAATCAGACCATGAAATGAAGATCTTCAGAGGTCCTGTTAGAACTGCTGCTTGTGAAACTGCTCTGTTAAAGTGTTTTTAGGTGTAGGAATTGAGCTTTAGACATGTGGAACACAAACTGTCTGGAAATACTTCGTTGAACATGTCTCAGTTACCAAAATTTAACACCACAGGAAAGCGTATAGAACCCTGAAAGGTTTAGCCAACACAGAGGCAGGCAGACAGACAGGTATTTCAAAAGTTCGGGTTTTCTGGACAGAGTGTATTAATTTAAACAAACTAAGATGTTGATGTGTCTTCAAATGGATTTTCAAAAGCATTTTCAAATGCTTTTTAGTGTAGCCATTGTCTTGTTATGTTACTTAGGATAGTCATGGTGAATGTCACCCCCATGAGACTTTCATTTGAGTCTCTAGTAAATTTGCTTTGTTAAATATATCAACAAATTATGTGTTCTAGAATATAACGTAGGAGCTTCTTCAGTTTTCTGTCATAGCTCTAAATAGCTCTTGCTTTTCAGAACATTTAAGTAACGGTTGGTGATTTCATGTTCTGTGTTTCCAAGTGTGGCTTCTTTCCTCTGACACTTTATATTTTCTCAGTTTCCCTGTAAGGTACAAAGCTTGGAATTAAAACTTTACTGACCAAGGAAGCTTAAAACAATGTGATAAAAAATGCTTCTTAGGCTGGAAAGAGACTTTATATTTGAAACAGAGTTTTTGCTTCACAGAACTGTTTATTCCATGTGTGGCTTTTGAAATGATTAGTTGTGTGCCAGACAGTAATATCTCCATGCTTTTTAACGTCTGGTTTTATATTTGCAGCACACATCTGAGTTTAATGTATCACTGCCTTTCTGTGGCAAAATCTGCTTGTTTCCTTCTAAAGGAAAATGGGCACGTGTAGAGGTAAGTGTTGAAAGAACAGCTCCAGCTTTCCCACATAGGAATAGCCCTTCTTTTTGCTCAGCTAAATCCAAATCCTTAGTTTCCATGAAATTTGTTACAGTGTATGTGTTACTGTTGTGTTTTTAACCTCAAAATGATAATCTTGCTTTCTACTTTCAGATAAGAATTATTTACACTAGCCAGGCACTTGATGTGCTGTTCATGGATACTGGAATAATTGTAACTGTAAAAGTATCAGAGCTTAGAGAAATCCCACCACAATTCGTGAGAGAACTAATTGCAATACCTCCTCAGGTATATAGATATGCTAGATCTCTTGGAAGTGTTTGTAGTGCTGCTACTTAGAGGTTTATGTAATGACATTTTGTTTTGTTTAGTAGCATTCAACACTGGAGTGTATTTTATTGTGCATCTTTGCCTGAAATAAATCATAATGCAGTCCTATGTATTGGCAGGATGTTGTGTATGTGTAATGGTACCGGTTTTGCATGTTTCTCCGTCTCTTTCTGTTTGTCATACATTATTAAATCTGTCAGCATTAATGAAGTTTCTGTGAATAGGAACTTGTAGACTAGTTTCCATATTACTAAATTAGACCTTGTATACTTAATTCTGTTCTTAGGCTATAAAATGCTGCCTAGCAGATCTGCCTCCTAACACTGGCATGTGGACTCCAGATGCTGTACTGTGCCTGAGAGACACTGTAATGAATTGTCCTGAATTTGGCATGAAGGTAAATAGTCAAAGTGTCTATGAGATTTGAAATTCATAGGCATGTGGAAAGAGCATTGAAAGAACAACTCTAGAAGCTTAACCACTCCTCAGATTGATTTTTGTTATAGATGTTTAGAAGTTTGTAGCCAGCTCTTGGATATAAATTCTATACAAAGTCTTTTTCTTAGGACATTCGACATAAAAGCTTACTTGCTTAAGCTTGTTAAAAGCTTCTCTTTTCCACCTCAAGAATTTAGCAACTTTCACATTATCCTTACACATTTTCCTGTCCCAGTCCGGGTATGCAGCTAGTTATTTTACCACCTGATGAGAAAGAAATACAGTTGTTAATGTTTCACCACATAAAAAGTTGTGTTAATCTTAAATTATTTTTATGCGTTCTGTGAGCATAACTTTCTCCTTCTGGTCTTGGAAAGCAGCTTTATTTTCTGTTTGCTTTTTCTAATCCAGTGTGATTTAGTATATGATATTGTGCGCTTAGAATTTCTGTTATCTTTGAAGTAAAATTACTTCCACTTGCAATGTATCCTATCCAGTTTAATTAACTGAAAACACCCTTCTAAAGGAAATCTATTACTAGCTACAGACTGAACAAAGCTAATTTCCTCTTAAAATCTGATTCCAGATGCTGTCACAGCACTTAGAAATAATATTTTATAGCTTTCCTCTACCCTTTTGCTTGCTTTAACACTGGAGACCGTATAGTTAAAATGTAGCTACTCTAGTCTGGGACTTAACAACTGTTGCATCTGGCTTTTCTAAGCATCTTCTTCCAAAATAATTTGGTACTAATTTTTGCTTGGTTAAATAATAGATGACAGATGTCACCTTTAATTGTGGAAAGTTTTTATTCTTGGCTAGGAAAATCAACATATGAATCTGTAAAGAAATGTTAAATACTTCATCACATTAAAATTTCAGTGCTTTACTATCAGTAATGCTAGCATACCTGATGTTAAATAGATAATATTTTTATGTCAGTGCTTGAAAATTAGGCAGGATACAAACCTGGAAGGTTTTTTAATCTTTATTATTTTCCCATCCTTAATTTACTAGGCTTCATCTCCCATAATGACAGGAAGAGAATTTTGAAGGATTAAGCATTAATATTTAATAGTATTACTTATTTGTTTAGATCTGTGTGGACACTGGCTACTGTTCTCCTGAGAACTACGGTTGTATATGCAGTGCTGAGATTGAACCTGCTGAGCAATTCAAGCTTTGTATTTGCTTTACATGAGTGGAGTAACTGCAAATGCTTTTTTTAGTGGCTGTGAGTTGCTTACTATCCAACAACCTTGTTAACAAATTTAAGAGAACATTAAAAGTACTGCTCTGCATATGTAATGCAATGAACTGTTGCTGCTTTTCTATTAAAGGCTTTAGTCTGCTGTACAAAATCAGATATGCATTGAATAGTTAATAACTGAAAGTTAAACTGTATTCTGTTTTCCAAGGTGGTTAAACAGGAAGGTTCGAAGGGAATTGCACATGTTTACTTGTTTGCTTCAGAGAATTTTCAAGACATGGTTCATAGCATCAATCAACAGATCAAAAATGCAGACTTGTGGAAGCATCAGAAAGATGTTTTCTTGAGTGTTACACCCAGTGGTACTAGCTCCACAAAAGTGACAAGTGAGGCTCTTTCAGGTCTCCAATTAACTAGTGGAAAGCTAGAGAAGAGTTTCTCTGATTCAGCCCCAGAACCCAGCAGTGCGGTATCTACCACTGATATGCCTCCACCTCTACCTTTGTCAAAGACTGGTGAGCTCATGGATGTCTATGTCTCAGTGGCGTGCCATCCAGGTCATTTTATTGTCCAGCCTTGGAAAGAGCTACATAATCTGGAAGCCCTAATGGAAGAAATGATCTTGTACTACAGCAGGGCAGAAGAGAAACCTGTGAATATCGAGAAAAACAAACTGTATGCAGCTAAAATTGAAAACCAGTAAGTAGATACTTAAATTAAAAACTAAGTCTTTGAAGACAAGCTTAGCTCTGCTAAGCTAGGCAAGCCTGCTTTGTCTGCATTGTTAACAAGGTAGCGGATGTCCAGTGATACCTGAGAGATTAAGGAGGTAAATGAGGTTGCAGTTTCTACATTCTTCCAGACTGTAGTTGGAAAAGTTGACTTCTATTCAGATGTAGGAAGCCTGAGACATGTTGGTTTAAGATATTTTGGTCGTGTATTATTTGTCTACTGCCTTGACAGCGTGTGAATACAATTTCAAATTGTCTTTTCTTATTCTCCCCCTTTTTAGGTGGTACAGGGTCATAATAAAAGGAATTCTTAGAAATGGGTTTTTGTCAGTATATGAGCTGGACTATGGTAAACATGAATTTGTCAGCACAGAGAAAGTACAGCCTCTTACGGATGCGTTTAGAAAACTGCCTTTCCAAGCTATAACAGCTCAGCTTGCAGGTAGGTAATAAGCATTTATAATTTTTTTTTTAAAGTTTTATGCCAATGGGGATACCAGAGGAGCAGAAATGTAAAGTGGACAAAGGCAAACGTTAGTGTTGCGATTGTTTTTTACTAAAATAGCATATACCTGCTTGCAAAAACATGCTTAATGCATGCATGTTTATGTCATCAAAGTCACTCTGCTTTTCTTCTTAACATAGGTGGTAATGAGTCTATTTTGTTGTTGTTGTTGTTATTTTAATGCAGCATTTTTAGTTACCATGTATAAATTAACTGAAGATTGATTAAGCTTTTCCAGCAGCTGCTTTTCATTGTCATGAATATTTCTCATTTAATGCAAGTGATGTCTAATGTGTAAAGGACACAGGGAAATAAAAATTGGTTTTTGGATCCTTAAACATAACACATTACAAGGTGTGAAAGTTATGATGTATCTGTTGATAAGAATTTATGTTCTGATTATCTTAATCTACATAAATTTAGGAACTAGATGCTACATTTCTGAAGAAATTTTTCTTACGTATCTTGCTCCTACTGTAATTCACTGTTTTCCAGTGCATATTTGAAATCCACAGTTGCCTGAAATATATTGATGTTCTCAAACAAACAAAAAAAACTCCATAAGAGGAGTGGGGGCTTTCAAGAGACTTAAGTAAGATTCATTTTCTTGAGAATAATGGGCACAGAGAGTGTGCATACATCTGATAGAACTAAAATAATAAAACTTGATCTCTTCTTGCTGTCTTTTCTTCCCTTTTCCAAATTTTTATTTCATTGCTGCGTTGCTTTCAGATGTTTATGTCTTCTTATTCAGTTGTTTGCTTTCTGCCACTGTTTGGTCACAGAATATGCTTGTCTGAAGTGACAGGCCACAGAGCTGGTGCTCTGATCCTAGGTTGCCTTCTGTGGATCTGCTTTCCTACATAGCTTCAGTGTGGCCTTGAGTGTTGCTTTAAACTAGTTATGATGGATGTGTTGCCAACAATCTGGGGTCCTAGAAGTGCAGTGCTGAAATGAAGCTGATTTCTAGCTGTGTCTGTCTATTGGGGTAGTACAGATCCAGCTGAGCAAGCCTGCAAGCCATCCAATTTTTGTGCTTCACAGAATCCCAAGTAGCTAGTTAAATTGGCCTCTGATGTGTGTCATATTGTCAAAGCAGGCCGGCTGAGCCCAGAAGACCAGTAACTAACCATTGTCTTGCCATTCTTCCACTTTTTCCCTCTCTTTTTTTCATGTCTGCTACCTCTCAGTCTCTGGTCTACTTTCTTGTAAAATCCCATGTTTCTCCACCAGCCTTTCCTAGCCTTAATTACTCTTTCTTAACTGTTGAACTGTTGACTTCTTATTCCTTCTGTAACCTGCAGGGAGCAGTGTACCTGTGTTGTCCTGTCCTGTCAGCAGCAAGCTGCTAATAATAATAAAAGCAAAGTGTTGTCATTTTGCTGTTTTGCATCTTTTGACCGTAAGATGTTGTTTGGGTATTGATGCTGGATATTTGAGTCCCTTGTGTCTAGTCATCGTACACCAATGGTTCACCAAGGCTGAATTCCAGGCCTGCAGGAGCCACTTCCTGGTTGATTACAGCCATATTAAAAAACCTCTTTTTGAGTTCTACCATTACATCTCTGAGCAGACTTGACTTTGTGGAATGCTGCTCTCAAAAAAAGAGCAGCAGTTGTGAGGCATTGAGGTGGCATTTCTCTTCATTTGTGCTCTCTGCAGATCTAGTTGGGACTTACAAGGTTTGGCAGATGTTTTAGTAGCTGATACTGCGTTGAGATTAAGAAAACATAATCTAAAGCACGGCCAACAGGACAAATAATTCAAGCAAACTTAGGCAGAAGACAAAGAAATAGTTTGTTTTGAAAGGATATTTAGTTTCCTTTTTGTCATGTTTCCTAGTATGCCTTAATAATGCAGGGCAGCTGATATACTTTGGATTACTCAAAGTCAGTACGTTTTCCTTTCAGTTCTGTGAACTTGTCCACATTTTACACTTCAAGAAAAAAAATGTTATAGTCTCTGTAATAATTAAGCTTGTTTGTGTGGGACATGTGAGCTTGTGTTTCTTTTCTGGAGTTAAACTGCATTCAGTGGCACTTGGACATCTGTTTTATTGAGTATTTAAACTCATCCCCCACTTCTTTATAAAATTATAATTCAGATTGGTCTAGTCTAGAAGTGACCTTCTGTTTTGCTTTACATTTGTCCTAGGAGTGAAAAGCCAGCAGTGGTCAGAAGAGGCATCAATAGTGTTTCGGAATCTTGTAGAGAAGAAACCCTTGGTGGCACAGATACAGGCAGTTAATGAAAGCACTAACTCTTGGGATCGAAAAATTGTAACTTTTCTAGTGGATACATCTCTTCCAGATACCGATCTATGGATTCATGATTTCATGTCTCAAAGTCTTGTGGAATTTTCAAAGGATGATTAATCACCACTTCTGAAAGGTAGCAGCTCAGATACTTAGCAATAAAATAAGTAATGAACTTGAAGAGAAATATGGCCTTGAAAACACAAAGGGGATAAAACTGAAAAATCTGTGAAAAGGGTTTGTTTAACAAGTTTGACTTCTGTTCACTTCAGTTGTCTTTCTGAAAATTTGCACTTTGTTTACCACTGTAGTGCTAGAATGTTTGGGTGAAAATATTAAAAAAGTTATTTATCAATAAAACTATGTTGACTCTTGTTTTTTGTTGCGGGGCTTTTTATCTCATAACTATTATTCAGAGCCATTGCTAGGTATTCCTCCCTTTTTCTTTAACTAGCATTTTTATTGCTTGGGAAATGTGGAAGCAGTTGTCAGTATTTCTGAATTTAGTGTCATTGTTGGTGGCTTTTTCCCTCTTCCTTAACTTCATGGGAGTTGAATAGTTGAAAGTGCCATGTCTGGGAGACTGCGTTTCTGAGGCTTAACATTCACAGAAGGATATGCACCAGTGTGTGCTTACTAGTCTGCTTGCTGTTCTTTAGCAATGATACCACTTTTTGGAATTCTCCACTTCCTTGCTCACCCCACCCTCCTGACAGGTTGCTAAATTCAGGGCATTCCTTTCCCTCTTTTTTTAATAGTTAGTTTTCATGCTTCTGAGAAACTTTCAAGGATTGCTGCTCCCTGGACTCAAGAAGAAGCAGTGTCCTATAAGCATGTGGATCAGTGCTTAAATCCTCTGAACACAGTATTTTCAGCCTACTTTATTTTTGCCTTTTGAAATATTTAGAAGAGGTGCAGACGTGATTATATTTCTTAGTCTGCTGCCTAGATTTGAGTTTCCTTGCCGTAGTTCCTGAAGATTGTTAAACACAGTATTAAAGCTTTACACAGTGAATGCCAGCAGAAGTATTTTTTTCTGCTGTGTATAGCTATATAATCTTTCTAGTAATATGTACGCTGTGTAATAAATTCTGCTAACATGCTGTCTGTGTGAGTAAAGGAGACTGGACAGAAAGGGAACCATGAATTCAAAGATGCAGTGCATATGTAACATTAGGATGGGAGAAAGAAAATGCATGCATGCAAATATTCGGAGTAAACAAGCTGTTTAAGCATGTGAGACTTATATTTGCGCCCTCTTAGGCTAGTCCTGGTGTAGTTCTGGAGGAGGTCTAGGCTAAGCAGCAAGGAGTCCTCTCGGAACTCTGGTGAGTATCTCTCTGCCTGGACTGTACACAGGGTATAACAGAGCCCTTATGAGTAAAGCAGGCAGTGACAAACTAGCAAACTGATAATTTAATGCAAATTGCTAATGAAAATGGTCCTGTCTATATTTAAGTATGCTGAGGTGAGACTCTGAAGTGTACTTGTTAAGAGAGAAGTTGCATTAATGCCTGAGACTCTAATTAATTTTTCCACATTTAATCCATTTCTCCTCCCTCAGCTGCCAATCCAGAGAAGGTGAAGAACGCAGGTGAAGAAATCGAAGTGATGATGAACTGCTGTAGGATAAACTTCCTTGCAGAAGTTTCTGTCTGTGTCGAACTGCTTCTGAGTCTGAAAATCTGAATGGTGCAGGTCACTGGGATGAGATAAGCGCTTTCCTGAGCTCCTGAAAAGAGGGAGTTTTTCCTACGTGTCTAAGAGCACATGCCACCTTCATCCAGTCTTGCAAAGTTTGATGACTTGTTAACTGATAACTCTAATGGCACAGGGTATTTTCCTGGAACCGTTTAGAAGTTTGTCTGGTTGTGTGAGAAATGCCTGTGCTGTGTTTGCATCCTTTGAGGCCTGGGGATCTGCTGTTGGCCAGTAGTTGATCTGCACCTGTAAACTGATGGAGCAGTCTTTGGGACTCTGCATTTGTAGTGTCAGGGGAAGGAGCCTGGCAGATGTTCAAAAGACTCAATATGATTTTTCAGCTTGTCTGCTCCTTCCAGAGTATGCTTCACTCACTCCTTGGTTTTCAGTGGCAGCTCCAGAGTCTGAAAAGCCCAGACCAGAAGTAAGGACAGTATTCATACAGCCTCATGCATTTTGCACAGCTCAGTACTGGAGTTCACATAGGCTGCTTTGTCTGTTGGTAAAGCAGAGCACAGTCTAACTGATCAGCAAACCCAGAAGCACTGCTCTCCATATGATAAGTCATTTTATGCACACATTGAGCATACACCCAAGCCAAAGTTATTAACGCAACACTGTGTTCAGTTCATACGCTGTATCTAGAAATGTTAAGATGTCTCCTCCTTTTCATAACCACTGTACAGTATCACCCCTGTCTTCTATATCTCCATTACGCTACAGGTAATCTGCTTTTACTTCGTTACTTACCTGCAGTCTTCTTACGCTGCCTGTGATTTCAGTTGCAGAGCTATGATTTTACACCTGCTTTTAATGTTAGTTTTTCACCCCACTGCCTAGCCTAGCCTGTAAGATTCTCTGATGCATTTTCTAACTGACCTACTTGTGCTATTTGAGTGCATTTTGTGTTCTGGCTTTGAAAAAAGTGCAAAGGAGTTGTCTGTACACAATACTGAGTTTGTTGAAGTTTCTGAAGTAGCTAGCATAATTAGTAGGTTTTAGTTAGTCTGCTCTCCCTAGGAGGCCTTAGACCTGCCTGCTCTGTGTAAGTTGTTAATTCACACAGAGTGCTGCATGGTTTTTAACTTCAGTTTTTCAGCAGTCTGTGTCTGGTCTTTGTTGTGAATGGCTTCTCTGCTTTTGTGGATGCGTGACACCTCCCTGGGGTGCTTCCACAACGTGTGTCTGAGTCGAGCAGGTGGTGGAGTTACTGTTTCACATGATCTTTCCACTCTGACTGCTATTAGAAAGGTCTCACAGGAATAGCGCATGGAGTTCGGGGCACTGTTGTACAAGAAAGATGCGGATTAATTACTGAGGATCCAGACAAAAGCAATTACAACAGAAGTCTAGAAAAACTGGTTTAAATAGTCTAGATAGAAGAAGGCTTAAGAGAGGAACGCTTTCAAAAGTTCTGGCTGATAAAGAATCTGGTTTAAATGTAGGGCAAAAAAGACCTGTAAGGGCTGGAATTGCAGAAAAGTGAGTTTAGGTTAGATGTTACACAGCCTTTCTAAAGAGAGGTGAAGAGCCTGAAAATTCACTGGAACTCCAGTTTCATTATGAATGACAAAAGCAGATAGGATGTATCTGCAGAAGCCCAGCTGACACTCCCTTGGGATGTGGAGGTGGAGTGTAATTCTTGGAACTCCACCCAAGGTAACTTTCCAGTCAGAAAAAGAGAATACAGCATTGTTAGACACATTTTGTGGATCCTTGTGAATTTTATAAACTGGAAAAGGAGCATTCATTACCTGGGGAAAACAGATGATGCTGTAATAATAAAATAAAAAAAGCACCAAACAAAAAAACGGCAGATACCTTACTTTCTAAAGGCTGTGAACAATAAGCACTTTCAAACCACCTCTTTTCTGTTTATTCCATCTCAGCTGTATTTTGTAAAGCTTACAAAGTTTCAGTTTACCTGTTTTCATTTCCCACTGTGTTCACCTTGGGTCATTTTGAGGAACTGTGTTTTGTCAGAGAAAAGCAAGAGCCCTCTTTGCCATCCCCAAATCAGTTCCTGTCTCCAGAGTTTCCATTCCCAGAC